TTTAATACAAATCAGTGATGTTACTAGTTATTTTACTGCCTTTTAATGACGGATTTCTAGAAAATATAAATTCATTACTTTATCTAGTCACATTATGGCTGAAATATTGCCGATGGGACCTTAAAATGTAAGTCACTATTCCAAAATGTTACAAGACAAACTATTCATTTGCCCATTTGCCAAGCAGAGACAAATATCCTCCCTCCATATATAAAATAAAATGACTACGGCTTCACGTTTGTTTTAATTAAAAATGCATACAGATCTACTAATTAATTTAACCTGGTCTGACTACAAGGAAATGTTTTTATATCATAATTTACTATGGTTGATCACTGCTTGCAGCGCGAACAAAATACTATTAATGTTATATTTGTTTGTCGAGTCGTTCCGTGTTCTACAATGCAATCAGATTCTCAATGGCACATCAAGAGCAACTATCCCACAGTGTGCAAATTAACTTGGAATAGCATCGTTAACATTTCCGTCAGGGCAAAAAATGGCCCCAGTCAAGAATAGTTAACACAAGATTTCTATGCCGCTAAGCAGAAAGCATCGCTTGCTGTACCCCTTATCTTAACAATGGTCGATTTCCCTCGCATGTGATTAATACCTGAGTAATTAATGTCTATTTCGTGTGTATTTCCGTGATAGATTGCGAGAAGGTCTTGTTCGTTTCATGTTTATTGCCAGATAGATGACGCTTAAACATCATCCGTCACAACGTAGGTCAGCGAGAAGACCACTGCAATGCTTGAGTGGGTTGGCAGAAATAGATCGTCATCGATTGCCATTAAACATTGACCAATCATTAATACCAAATTTCAGAGCCTATTTCCGGGCTAATAGAACGGCCATAGACCCCCAACGGTGATTAATGAAACAAGGTAGGTGGTTTGATGGCGTCGGTGTCACGTTGGCTGTGACGTTTTTAAAACCGTGGGTTTTCGTGTAGCGCGTGTTGTTCATGACGTTGCTTCAAATAGAGCTTGTATGTGAAGGAAATGTTTAGATTGGGTCGACTTTAGGTGTTGTTCACAGTCTGTGTTAGTGTGTTTCGGTTACGGAGCCATTCCGCAAGTCTACGTCTGGACAGTGGTTGATGGAACGCAATAAAAAAAACAAGCACCCAGTCCTTATAACAGTACTTCTTGACAGATCTGCATTTTTTCCATTTCGCCATATCAATTTGCAGGCGGTTTATAGTTTAAGTAAAAAATAACGTCTGTAATCCTAAAATATTAACTCTAACAATAAGCATCATCGGTAAAACATGATGAGTGAGTGAGTATGGTTTTACGCCGCTTTTAGCAATATTCCAGCAATATCATGGCGGGGGACACCAGAAATGGGCCTCACACATTGTACCCATGTCGGGAATCGAACCCGGGTTTTCGGCGTGACGAGCTAGGCTACCCGACCGCCCCTAAAACATGATGAAATACCAGTAGGTTCGTTCCAGTAAAACAACTGCTAGGGCGTTTGGGGTAGCCTAGTGGTTAAGCATTCGCTCGTCACACCGAAGACCCGGGTTCGATTCCCGACATGGGTACAGTGTGTGAAGCCCATTTCTGGTGTTACCCGCCGTGATATTGCTGGAATATTGCTAAAAGCGGCGTAAACTTCACTAACTCACTCACTCACTAACATATATGGATACCCAGAACAGCATACTGAACGAGGCCTCCCAGTCCTTGCTTACGGTAGTAGTAGTAGTAGTAGTAGTAGTAGTAGTAGTAGTAGTAGTACTGGGTAAATAGTACTTTAGTTTGCACCTATTCGTGGGTATGGGGAAATGGGACAGAGGAAGGCATTAATACACAGTGGATCCTGGAGCAGGGCTAAGAACCACTACTCTAACAGGAAATTGTGGCCACGTCGTGAGCGTAGATTGAATGTATTTTTACGGCGTTGTTAGCACTATCCCAGCCATATCACGACGGGGGAAACCAGAAAGGGTTTCATACAGTGCAACCACGCGGGGAATCGAACCCGGTGACTAGCGAACATTTAACCACGAGGTTTCTCCACCGTTTACCACGGTTGGTTGTTGTTGTTGTTGGTTTGTTGTTTAACGCCGCACTCAGCACTATTCCAGCTATATGACGGCGGTCTGTAAATAATCCGGTCTGGACCAGGCAATCCAGTGATTGATATCATGAGCATCGACCCATGCAATTGGGATCGATGACATGCATCAACCAAGTCAGCGACCCTGACCATGCACCCGATCCCGTTAGTCGCCTCTTACGACAAGCATAGTCGCCTTTTACGACAAGCATGGGTTGCTGAAGACCTATTCTACCCCGGAATCTTCACGGGCCGCGGTACCCTGAACCACGTGTATCCTGTTGCGCCAGCATACACATGACGGTATATGTATTACCAAGTTACATTGTATCATGTTCTGTGCACGCAATGTTCTTATCAGTACTGTAAGCAAATCGGCAAACAAATACCTGTATAGGGTGTTGATATTGAGATTGCGTTAGCGCATTATAAACGGTCCTAGTTTGTTTCGCCACTTGTTCCGTTCGCCGTGAGGTTAAGACTCAGTTTATTTGCCCTGCTTATTTAAACCGATCGTGTATTGAATGTTTTGTTTGAACATGGCTACGGTTACCAAGAGGTTCTTGAACCTTTAGCAGCAGTGTAATATGTTTAATTGGTATACAACAAATATCGCTACCATTGGAGTTATATTTATTTCATTTACTGCTAAACATAAAGATTTCTACGTATTTTTCATTGTTTATATGCTACATATTAATGCGGATTAGTTCAGTTAAATAAATCAGAAAAATAAAAATAAAATTAAGTGGGATTTTTTCTGTGAGAAAAGTCCCCTGCCGTGATATTGCCGAAATATTGCTAAAAGCGGCGTAAAACCATACTCACTCTGAGAGAATAATTGTTATACCCCTCCCAACTCTATGAACTGAAGTGGAATGGGGATTTACGTCGCGTTCAAGACTATTGCACTCATATATTGTGTTGTGCTTGTACGTGTGGGTGTGTGGCTACTTGTACCAGATACCATGCGACAGTTTAACATAGATACCCCAAGTCAGACACAGTATAATGCCGATCAGTCCTTGTTTGAGCCCCTTAATGCTGGCCACCAGGCAGGGAAACAAGAAGTATCTTTTATACTTTTTAGCGAGACGCGCCCAGGGGATCTGGATCTCCGGTTAGACGCTCCATCCACTAGACTATGGAGGCGGTCTATATTGTATATACAATTGTATTTGAATATGAGTGAGTGAATGTTGTTTTACGCCAAAGTAATCACTATCACAGTTATACCAAGGCATGCAGCCTTTATAAATAACCAAGTCAACCCCAACAATCGAATACTTCATTGATTGCCAGTGAGTAGAGTTTGTTTACGATGCAGTCATTGAGTATATCACGACGACCCCCGGTGTTCGTGTCTGGGCCAGACAAATTAGTGGTTAACAGAATGAACAACTCTCCTCGGCATATGAGTGAGTGAGTGAGTGAGTGAGTGGGTGGGTGGGTGAGTGAGTGAGTGAGTGAGTGAGTGAGTGAGTGAGTGAGTGAGAGGGTGGGTGGGTGGGTGAGTGAGCGAGCGAGTGAGCGAGCGAGTGAGTATGCTTTTACGCAGCTTTAAGCAATATTCCAGCCATATCACGGCGGGGGACACCAGAAATGGACTTCACATATGTGGAGAATCGAATCCGGGCCTTCTGCCTGACAAGCGAAGGCTTTAGCCACTAGGGGTATGAATACAGCCAAGAAAACAGTGTATTGAACCACCCTTTCCCCACTTTAGCCAACACTCTAATCGCACTTGGGCGAAACAACAACTGTAAGTGAGTGAGTTGGGTTTAACGCCGCTTTTAACAGTATTCCAGTTATATCACGGCGTGTCAGCTTGATGTGGGAGGAAAGCCCGAAGTGATGCAGGTCTCAGACGTTTACCACTTCGGTGAAACCCACGAGCACGGGTATGGTGCTGACAAACCTAGAAACATAATTGGGGCGAACCGGGATTCGAACCCACAATCATAGGTTTCTGGCGTGCACAAGGGACACAACTCTGCACAGCGAATCGCAGCGCCTTAGACGACTGGGCCACCCGTGCCCCCACAACTGTAAGTGAGTATATATAGCATATTAAGCCGCTGTTCCACCAGTGAGACGTCGGGGGACACTGGAGACGGTAATCACAGATTGTTCCCATGTGGAGACTCGAACTCGGGACATTTTACGAGTGAATGCTTTAACCAATTCTGCCTACATGCCCTCTTCCAACATATAATATTAATATGTACGTACACTGTTCCGAGACATGTATGGTTATATAAGCAGTTGTTACTGCATTTTATTGTGTACAGATTAAAATAAAAAATGCAGCAAAGAGGGTTTGGGTGATCCTGGCACAGTCAGGCCGGTTAGGCTCATCATCAGCCCAAGGCCCCCTTTACGCGCAGCCCAGACAGCGAATGGGACTTCTCCCAGGAAGCGCTGCCTCGTCAAACACACGAAGAACTTTTCGGAGAATGTGAAGACTCCCTAACACTGCAGCCTTCTGCATTACCCAGATTGTCAGAAGGGCTGTATTCCTGTATTCCTGGTATTCCCGGGTACTCTCTCAATGCCAGTCAACAGATTGGGAAGTACCAAACCTAAGGCACCGAGAACAATGGGGAGTCGGACAACTTGGTACTTGGGATGCAAGCGTGACATTTCGAAAGCGAGGTCGGCATATTAGCCATGTTTTTCCCGAATCTTGTCAATCACATCAGTGTCAAAAGGGACAGAAAATTCAATAATAGTCATTCATTGGATTTATCAAAAAGGACAAAATAAGGTTTGTTGGCCTGGGTACGTCTGAGGCTGTATACGGGCCCACTCCAAAGACTTATTATTATTAGTAGTAGTAGTAGTAGTAGTAGTAGTAGTAGTAGTAGTAGTAGTAGTAGTTTCATCATCATTATTATTATAAACAAACCGTTGAAGGTACTGCTACTTACCGCATGTCATCTGGTGACTCCGTCCACCAGTTTGTCAATATCATCCTGTCACTCATCTTCAAGCCGTAGACGTCAAACCCCAGGCACGATCCTCGTGCTTTTCATGATGAACGTGGCATCGGTTGACACATCCCGGATGGTTTCTATGGAAACGCCAGGTGTCTATCCGAAGATCATTGCATATTTCACGCTTAAGGATATAGGTGTCAGGAAACTGTGGTCACGTGGTGTATGACGACCATTTGTTAATTTCATGGCCCCAGTTCATTTTATGAGACGTGTCAGTGTATATACACTGTTATTGACACCTGCTCAAACATACCACATGATAATTGTAGTAGTAATATTCATATTTGTCCGGATTGGAATTCGGAATGTTCTTAACACGCATAATATATCACATTTGTCAAAACAGACAATTGAAAAACTCCTTGTGTTGATCCAAGTGCAGTATCCAAATGTGAAAATCAAACTTTGACCTTCAAATCTTCAAGATTGATAATGTTCGCTCATCGTTTGTATTCCTTGTCCGATGTCTCAATGTCATAAACCACGGTGCGCATATGCCCCAACATAAACCTGTCATGAGAATTTAAACCAGCAGCGACCATCCGTGAACGTTGCTATTAACAAATATCACCACGCCCAGACAACTCGATCGCTGTTCCGAACTTTCCCAGAGAGCTTTTAAAAATGTTCGGCGATATTAGCCCCAACTGTCAAAGGTAAGCACTGTTCACGCTTCGTAAGACGAGAGACAGACACCCATTGTCGATACTCAACATTGATTCAATCATGTTCCAGTTGGTCCTTGTCACGAAAACACTAGTTCAACTTGACGTCTGCTCTTTCGCGCCAATGACCCGTGGCGGAAGGTAGACCTTGAAAAGTGCCTAACCCTTGGACGACGTTGAACAGAAGTGGATGATAATTGCGCAGTATCGACACGGCCATTTCAAAGAACCACTTGTCTTGCCTGCTGTTTGAAGGTCCTCGATGATCGTGTTATTAAAATGTCGGCCATATTGTCAACATGGCGATTACAGACCCGGCCATGATGTCGTGAATCAACACTTTCTCGGCTGGCTGGCTGGCTATCGGTATTGGAAATCAACAACCGAATGCCCTTATATCAATTTATTGTCGATGTGATAAAGGATTAATGTCTATAATAGTCGAACTGTTACCGGCGTCCATGTCTGATTGATCTGGGGGATTTCGGGAGCAGCATTGCTATGGTAAAAACACGAAAAAGCCAACTGACGTTTAAAAGGTCACTGATAAGAACGCCAATTACAGATTTGTATTACGTCGACGCACAGCGGGAGAGCTGGTTGTGTATATTGCTGCACTGAAAACGATTTGGGAGTATGACAGGGGTCGAGCGGAAAATAAGTTTCACAATAAATTATACACAAAGACGAGTCTGCTCATATCAGGCCTTTAAATGACCGCCTCCGTGGTCTAGTGGTAGAGCGTCCGCCCGGAGAGCGGAAGGTCCAGGGTTCGATCCCGGGCCGCGTCATACAAAAAGACGTTAAAAGATTGTACTTGTTGTTACCCTGTCTGGCGCTCGGCATTAAGGGGCTAAAACAAGGACTGGTCGGCTCGGAGTCAGTATACTGTGTCTGAGTGGGGTATTCATGTTAAACTGCGGCATGGTATCTCAGTGAGCTAGCACTATAAATCGGCATCAGTCCGGACTAGTACAAGCAGCCACACACACACATACACGTGCATGCACGTCGCTATATAAGTGCAATAATCTTGGACGCGACGTTAAACCCAATTTCACCTCACCTCACTTCACCTTTAAATATTTAAAGTGAGTTTTATTGCATAGTCAGAAATCCTTCTAAATGGGGAGGGGACACGGGTGGCCCAGTCGTCTAAGGCGCTGCAATTCGCTGCCCAGAGTTGCGTCCCTTGGGCACTCAAGAAACCTATGATTGTTGGTTCGAATCCCGGTTCGCCCCGATTATGTTTCTAGGTTTGTCAGCACCATACCCGTGCTCGTGGGTTTCACCGAAGTGGTAAACGCCCGAGACCTGCATCACTTCGGGGTTTCCTCCCACATAAAGCTGACACGCCGCGATATAACTGGAATACTTTTAATAGCGGCGTTAAACCCAACTCACTCAACCTAAATTGGGAGGGGCAGTTGTGGCCCAGTCCTCTAAGGCGCTGCAATTGCAGAGTTGCGTCCCTTTGGCATGCCTAAAATCAACGATCGCAAGTTTGAATCCGAGATTGGCCCTGATTATATTTCCAGGTTTGTCAGCACCATGCCCCTTCATTTCTTTCCGTGTACATTCTCCGGGCTTCACACAGCCGAATAGCGTTCCCTACGAGCGAGATATACTAGTATACCCGTATATCGCTGTCCAGAGCTTTCCGGAGAAACTGCGTTTACACAAAACAGTGACGCGCGTCAATAAATGAGGCTGTTGTGCCGCGTTAAATTACAATTTTTTAAACCTTTGCAATCTTTGCAATAGTCGCATGTAAAAAAGATGTTTTCCTAAAAACACGCAATTACCTATGCCTAAAAATATAATTTCGTATCAGGTCTCGTACCTTAAACCGACTGGCGCCATGTGATTTAGCTGCTGTTAAAAGGGGCCGGTGGGTGGGCCTAGTGGTTGAAGCGTTTGTTCGTCTCGCCGAAAATACGGGTTCGATTCCCAACAATGTCTGAAGCCCATTTCTGGTGTCCCCGGCTGTGATATTGCTGGCATATTGCTACAAGCGGCGTAAAAACATATTCACTCACTCACTACTCTTCAAAACAGACGATAATGCTTACTTTACCTCCCGCTGTTCTCGCTTATTAAGCCAACAATGGCCTTATCTGGCTTTCTTTGTAGCAGAAAGTGTATGTACATAAGTAGTCATTGTGTTATAATTGCTGGTTTCGCTGATCACAGTGTGGGATAGTGTCCTGAGCCCTGTGTGGTATGACGGCGGTACTGACATGACATGGTAGGTCCGATTGCAACACTGTGACTCATCTCTCGTGAAATCCTATACACTGTGACTGTATATACTCAAAACTCTTTGAAGTTTGTTTGTTTTTTAACGCCGCACTCAGCAATATTCCAGCTATATGACGGCGGTCTGTAAATAATCGAGTCTGGACCAGACATCCACTGACTGACATCATGAGCATCGATCCACGCAATTGGGATCGATGACATGCATCAACCAAGTCACCGAGCCTGACCACCCGATCCCGTTAGTCGCCTCTTACGACAAGCAAAGTCGCCTTTTACGGCAAGCATGGGTTGCTCCTTTGAAATAAACTGCCAGGCAAAAGAAAGTATACACTTGTAAACTGGATTTGACAAAACAATAACAAACGTTATGAAAAGGTTACTAGGCTCAAAACAGTCGCCTAAACACTGCAAACGTAAGGTCCAAAACAAAACTATGATAACAAACATTTCTTTCTCCCAGCAGTACATGTGAACGTTGTGTAACGCCACAGTCAGCAACAACGCAGCTATATCACAACGACAAACCAGTGACTGAAATCATGAACAACGCCCCACGCCGTCGTCTACGATGACACATCAAAAGGTCACGGAACCCGTGAACATCCGGGTGAGAATTTGTCTTCAGCAACCAATGCTTGTCGTAAGAAGCGGGATCGGAAGGTCTGAATCACTGACTGATGCATGCCATCGTATCCCAATTCCGTAGAGCGCTGCTCATGATGTCAATCACTGGATTGTCTGCCCTCATATAGTCGGAATATTGCTGAATGCGGCGTAAACAACAAACAAGGTCACGGAGCATGATCGTCCACTTCTCTTCAACCGGCTCTCACTGCAGGCTGGGTCTCCGGAATGTCCAATAGTTTTCAAATTTTGCGCGTCATATGAAGCATATTCTGTTATCCATAAAATAAAATGCTTGACAACTGACATTGTATTAAAGAACCGAGTTCAATGTCGGGCAGGGCGTGGTTTTTTTTTATATTTTTGTTGGGGAAAACATAAAAAGCGTTCCCCCGCCCCACTTTTGTTTTGTGTAAAAAATTAAAATCCTCACTTTTTAGAAAAATGTGCCTTATCAATATGACTAGGGCTAAAATGAGGTCTTAAGTCAGTCGATTACATAAAATTAGTCGTATATATGTAGCAGGGCGTGGAGTCATCCCACAGATCACATCCTTATACCTTGTCAGCTTGCTGACGGGGTTAACCTCTTTGGTCATGTGGACAAGGCGTCCGACCTCGGATCAGAAGGTCCGTGGTTCGAATCCCATCACGGGACTCGGAACTTTTATGGCCGCTTCATATATTCATTAACAGTCCATGAATTAATGTGTCATTAATATCCGAGGTGAGAAAATATATAAATGGTTCAGTTTTCGACAAAAATAAAGGTTGACATTCTTTAATGAAAACGATAAAAACATTTTACCTTCGTGTCCTAAACGGAAAGCAAATTCTAAGAAACCACTAATCAGTCAGAAAAGATCGATATCTATTATTCACAATTCACGTGGAGATGTGATTTCAAACAACAAACAGAAGGGGTCTTGAAATTGTTGAGTTTGTCATTTGTTACCAAACATTGATGATCTTCTCGATACAAATGTAATCCTTCACAGGTCGTATACTGTATTATCAGCTCATGTGGGGTACATATACTCTACCCCAAGCGTAACCTATTATCATAGATTGTTGGATAATCGATAGGAGACATTAGCTCGGCTGATTCAAGATAACAGTACATGCAGCCTATCGCCATGTACTCCAAGTGGGATAGGGGGCAGTTCAAAAGTTAAACATAATATTATTATTTTTAAAACACCACACCACACCACACACCCAAAAGCAGTAATAGAATTTATGTATTAAATTAACACAATACGATTCAATCCTGAAAATCTGAGCATTCTCAAAGATGCGAATCCTTTTTAAATGATTTGTGTTGCAGAGCTTGCAACCATGTCAAGTTGACTGCTTTTTCACACAACTCGTTTTTCACCTACGCTCGAGATGCCGTTAATCAGAGCGCAATTATGACGATTAAGCAGGGTTTTATATTGACCTTGAACTGTAAATCCTCTAATGGCTGATTTTGTCGGTTGGAAAACTTGCAAAACTATAACCAACCCAGCTTGAGGAATAAAGGTTTTATCCGACATCAAAACGTTTGAGCTGCTCCCTATCTACAGAAACACGAGAGCGGTGGCAGTTAATGGTCTCCATTGCAGATCAACTGTATCATAACACACGGCACTCAAGCCACACGATGTCATCGATAAGACCAAGCAGTGCGTATTCCCTATACAGTCGATTGAGAGAGTTGAGTTTTACGCCGTTTTGAACAGTATTCCAGTTATATCACGGCATGTCAGCTTTACGTGGAAGTGAGAGAGTTGATTTTCAGCCGTTTTGAACAGTATTCCAGTTATGTCATACAGGCGTCCAGATGTTCGACAGATTTGGCGTGTCGGAGCCACATGACCATGGGTTCGAATCCCAGATTCACCCTGAGTTCGTTTCTTGGTTTGCACACCATGCCCGTGCACGTGGGTTTCACTGAAATTTTCGGCGCCTAAGATCTGAACCTGCACTAAGCTGTTAAACGGGCATACTGTCTACTGTTAGACTTAACTCACTTACTCATTCAAATGATAATTACACCATTGATTTTCAGCCGTTTTGAACAGTATTCCAGTTATATCACGGTGTGTCAGCTCTACGTGGAAGTGAATGATTTGATTTTCAGCCGTTTTGAACAGTATTCCAGTTATATCACGGCATGTCAGCTCTACGTGGAAGTGAATGATTTGATTTTCAGCCGTTTTGAACAGTATTCCAGTTATATCACGGCGTGTCAGCTCTACGTGGAAGTGAGTGAGTTGACTTTCAGCCGTTTTGAACAGTATTCCAGGTATATCACGGCCTGTGGGAGGAAAGTCCGAAGTGAAGCAGGTGAAACACACGAGCTCCGGTATGGTTAGTCTGTCATACAGACCCTGAAACAAATAAATCCAATACAGACGATGCAAGTCTATAATATTTGGCAAGTCTAGATTACTGCAGTACATGGAAGTGAAGAAAGACTCTGGCCTCCTTTTTATCATATTTCAAAACT